GGAAGCTCCCTGTTATTACACCATGTGAAACTGCCTCTTACTAAAGGAAGACCAATTAAATTAGATTGTTGCACAAAAAACCTTAGCAAGTCCACTGAATGCCAATTCTGTGAAGCACCATTCTTCTCCTCTTGATCAAGATATGCGTTGAAATCTCCGCCGATGCAAACTGGCAGATTACAAGTTTGAACAAAACTCGACAGTTGCCTAAACAACTCCTCTTTTTCAGCCTCTATTGGCGGACCATACACGTTTATTATAACACACTCAACATTAGACACCTTGAACTTTCCTGATAACGCCAGAAATCTGTTCTGGTTATACACCCTACTAACCTCATATGCATTCTCATTTCACTAACACTGCAGTCCACCTGCGGTCCCCTCCGCTGGCTGAAAAACTTTCTCCCTTCAACAGATTTCCCCCTAATTTCTTGCATAGCCCCTTCTGACATTTATTTAATTGTCTCCTGTAAAAGCAATATGGCCGGTTTATTCTTATTCACAAGTCTTAACACTGCTCTTATTTTTTCCCTTCTCCCTAGACCCCTTACATTCCAAGAAATAATCTTACAAATTAACATTGACAAGAGAAAATCAATCTTGCGAGCAGCAAAAACAGGCCAACTATCAGCCTTCACTTACTACCTCTAAACCTTTTTCAAGCTTTTTAATTTTTTCTATAAAAACCTCCCTCCCTTCCTTGAATGAAATGCCTAACATCTGACAGACTTCCCATGTGGCCATTGCTTCCTCTAACACTTTAGAAAAAGTACAAGAATAAACAGTTGAAACTTCTGCCATGTCCAAAGCTTCTGTGATTAAACCTCTTCTCTTCCTTTATTCTTTCTTTGTTTCCCTGAAGCAGTAAGAGGATCTGCTGCCACACTTTCTGGAAATTTGCTGCTAATAATAGGAACCATAGAAGTACTCTGAACATTAGCAGAACAGTTAATTTCCTTCTCTTGTCTCCTTTCCCATGTTCCTATTGAAAATTGCTGACTGTTTTGAAGGCCATTACTGTTTAGTTTATGCTTTTGACTGCCCTCTGAACAAGTGTTTTCCTTTTCTATACCCGACCATAACCACTCGTCTGGCTCTTGATCTTCTGTAAACTCGGGCATAGCGTCCAATTCCCCTCCTTCCATCGGGTGTACTTCTTACTGACAAACATTTAGAAACCTGATATCCCAATTTCCATCTCCTAGAACTCTCCACTCTAGATTAAGTCATCCTAATTTTTACTCTTTCCAAAATGTTACCGAACTTATTTATAAATAAAGATCCATCCTTGTTTTCCTGTGAAATTTGTCAAATAGCCAAACACACCAGAAAACCATATATTGCAGCCAAATTTGAACCAACACCTTTTTCCATCATCCATAGTGACATTTGGGGCCCTTCTCCTGTCAAAAGTATTTCTGGGTATAAGTGGTTTGTGTCTTTTATAGATGATTACTCTAGGACAACATGGGTATTCTTAATGAGAGAAAAGTCCGAGGTTGAGTCTCTTTTTAAAAGTTTTTATCAAAAAGTTGAAACCCAATTTGACCCATAAATAAAAATTTTGAGGAGTGACAATGGGAGTGAGTATTTGAATAAAACTCTTGGGTATTTCTTTAAGGAAAAAGGCATTGTTCACCTTACGTCTTGTGTCAACACACCTCAACAAAATGGGGTAGCAGAAAGGAAAAATAGACATCTTTTAGAGGTTACTAGGTCTCTTCTGTTTGCTGCTAATGCTCCTAAGTATCTTTGGGGGAAGCTCTTCTTACAGCCACGTACCTCATCAATAGAATGCCAAGTAAGACTTTAGATTTCAAAATTCCTACTAAGGTTCTGTTTCAGCTTTTTCCCCATTTTAAACATTTAAACTCAAGTCTTTCTCCTCGGGTGTTTGGTTGTACAGCCTTTGTTCATATCCACAACAGAGGGAAATTAGATCCTAAGTCCATAAAGTGTGTGTTCTTGGGCTATTCTTCGAGTCAGAAGGGTTACAAGTGTTACCTTCCACAAAAAAGACATGTCTCCTTTGATGTTATATTTTTTGAAAACCAACCTTATTTTTCGGGAACAAAAATTCAGGGGGAGAGTTACAAGGAATTTCAGCCTGTTCAAACCAATATTTCTTTACAGCCTATCCTTTCTTTACCTATTACTGTCTCTCCAAAGCCGGCTAGCACAGTTCCAGTTCCTAGTGAGGGTGATGGGAATAACCTAAATAACTCTGATGAATTACCTTTCTCCTTACCTCATAACTCTAGTCCGTGCAAAACCCCTTCCACCACTACCAAAAATGCACCTAACAATGACCCTAAAACCATAACTCACCATCCGAAACAACTTAGTGTTTACTCAAGAAGAAGGAAAGATGTTGCTGAAGAAATCAGTCAGCCTAGCATTCGCCAAGAACCAGATTCGGATCCTGTTGCCTCTGAAAGCCAAGAACCAGATTCGGATCCTGTTGCATCTGAAACAGAAGGTAATGATGGTTACCAAGAGGCTACTATTGTTGATCTTGATAACTTTTCTATTGCTATTAGGAAGGGGGTAAGAAAATGCACTGCTCATCCCATAAATAAGTATGTTGCATATGGGAAATTACAGTCTAATTTCAGGGCCTTCACTGTCAGCATTAACAGTGTGAAAATCCCAAGAAATGTGACAGAAGCATTTCAATCTCCTGAGTGGAAAAAGGCTATAGAAGAGGAGATAAAAGCATTGCAAAAGAATAAGACATGGAGTTTGACATGGAGTTTGACAGATTTTCCAGAAGGGAAGAGAGCTGTTGGATGTAGGTGGATATTCACAGTCAAATATCATTCGGATGGGAGTGTGGAAAGATACAAGGCAAGGCTGGTTGCTACAGGTTTTTCTCAGTCCTACGGCATCGACTACCAAGAGATTTTTGCATCGGTTGCAAAATTGAATACCATCAGAATATTGTTATCAGTAGCTGTTAACATTGACTGGAAATTGCATCAGCTGGACATAAATAATGCTTTTCTAAATGGGAACCTTGAAGAAGAAGTATACATAGAGGTCCCCCCGGATTAGAAGGAAAGGTCACTAAGAAAACTGTGTGCAAGCTCAATAAATCCTTATATGGCTTAAAACAGTCTCCCAGGGCTTGGTTTGATCGATTTGCTAAGGCTATGACACAGAATGGTTTCAAACAAAGCCAAGCGGATCACACGTTATTCAGAAAAATTACACGGAGTGGTAAGATAACCCTCCTAATTGTCTATGTAGATGATATGATTATAACTGGCAGTGATATAGAAGAAATAGAAAAGCTAAAGATGAATCTTGCAAAGGAGTTTGAAACCAAGGATTAGGAAGTATGAGGTATTTCCTTGTATGGAAGTTGCAAGGTCCGAAGAAGGGCTGGTCATAAACCAGCGTAAGTATGTTTTAGATCTTCTTGTAGAAACAAGGATGCTCGACTGCAAACCAGTTGAAACTCCAATGGAGTCAGGCTTGAAATTTTGCAAGGACCGGACTGGAAATCCAATAAACAAGGAAACCTACCAAAGGTTAGTTGGGAAGTTGATCTACCTTTCACTGACCAGGCCTGATATTGCATACTCAGTGAGCATTGTCAGCCAACATATGAGTGATCCTCGAGAAGAACATTTGGAAGCTGTTAACAGAATTCTAAGGTTCTTGAAGTTTACCACAGGAGTTGGACTTATATTTAGAAAAAATCAAGATAAAACAATGAAAGTTTATACGGATGCAAGCTGGGGAGGTGAATTAACTGATAGAAGGTCAGTTAGTGGCTACTGTGCCTACGTTTGGAATAATTTGGTGAGTTGGAGAAGTAAGAAACAAGCCGTTATCTCTCGAAGTAGTGATGAGTCAGAGTTTAGAGCAATGGCTCTCGGAATATGTGAAGGAATGTGGATTAAAAGACTGCTCACAGAACTGGACTTAGATGACAAGAAGAATTTTGAGATTTTTAGTGACAGTCAATCAGCTATGAGTATAGCAAAAAACCCAGTGCAACATGATAGAACGAAACACATTGAGATAGACAGACATTTTATTTATGAGAAGGTCAACAATGGAGTTGCACAACTGCAGTACATTCCGACGAAGAAACAGCTTGCAGATATCTTCACCAAAGCCCTTCCACGAGTGACTTTTGATGAGCTGTCATTCAAACTGGTATATACAACATATACACCAGTTTGAGGGGGAGTGTAGGAATTATAGAAATGAGCTGTCAAGAGATTCTGTAATTATTTTCTGTTTTTCAAATCCCTTATTTCAAGGGATTACATCTCCTAGGATTAGTATAAAAGACTAACTTAGAGTTTCCTAGTTTAGAGGCATAATTTGTATATAAATATGTAATATGTTTCTACTGAAAGGATGCAAAGAATAAAATAACAGACTTGTTTGTTTCCTACAGTTTGTTTTCTACCATACAGTCTGTTTTCTTTCTACAGTTTGTTTTCTACACATTCTTCACAATTTATACAGAATGAAAATAACCTAAAAATAACATGCAACAACCATCCCATAGTTTTGTTTATGCAATTCAAACCCAAAGTAACTGTACAAAATCTAAGATTCACACGCCATGTGTAAAAGAAGACAAGCACTCATGTTCTACCTTGTTCAGAAAGTTAAAGAAAGTCAAGTAAAGGATAGATAACTAAAATTTTGTTTTTCATAACATTGCTGCAGCATGTGCAGATTAAAAATCAATCATTAGACCCATGCACCAAATAAAAGAATCTAGAAAGCAGTTAACGCAATCTAAGTATCAAATAAACAGTTCAAGCAAGGAATATTTATTAATTATTACACTATTTTATACGAACGATATTTCAAACAAGTATGACCTTTTCAATTTGAACATGACAAATTTTACTTATACATACACAACATGCTTCACTGACACATCACAGTGGCACTATATCATATGACTGCACAAGTACTACAATTGGTTCTTCTTATTAAAAATAAGAATTAGTTAAAAAATATTTTAACCTTCAGAATTCTTGTGGAAAGTAAGATTGATAAGATCATCAGGCTTCAATGGAGCCCCAGTAACCGGATCCTTCCCATACTTCCTAATATAAGGAACTATATTCCTGCACCAGAAAACAATAAATAAACCCTTAATTACACTTACATATACCTACATATTAAAGTTGAAAAAGGTCAAATTGAAATAAGAAGATACCAACATTAAATCGAAGAGACTGCCATCCTTCGTGCATACAGGCAACTCAAAGGGCGTGAATGTAAGACTGAATGAGGAAACCAAAATATAAAAATTTTGCAATTAAATAAGCATGACTTTGGTAAAGATACAAGCAAATACGGGAACGAAAGAGAGGCATACGCGCAGCAATAGAAGGGAAGGCGTTTGAAAGGGGTACGATTCTCTTTGGATTTAGCGCCTCCCCACTCGGTAGCCCATTCCGTCTTCGTTATGAACATTCGATCTTTGCTGTGCTGTTTCTTCCCCATCTTCGCGACCTCCTCTGGGACGATTCAATTGCTTTGGGTGCCAGGGTTTTGTGATTTGGTGGACCGGGAATTGGATTTATGGAGGGAGGTTTTGACTTTTGACCGCTTTGACACGAGGAGTTCTGCTGAGTGCCTGCTCCGATAATTTAAGCTTGGGTAAAAGACACCACAAGTCGGTCAATTATTAGAAATATTACAAATGGATCACTCATTTGATCACCGCTCATCCAGCTTTTAATTATGTAATATGCGTTAATTTTTTAGTTATAATTGGTGGTTTAATAGTAACAATTGATAAATTAAATGAATTAATTATCACAATCGATAAATTAAATGATTTGATTGTAATTAAAAAAAGTTGATGTATGTTCTATTTTTAACAGTGAAGTGGTATGTTTATAATAATTAATTAGGTTACTTGTTTATTATTTTTCAAAATTCAATTATTTATTTATAATTTTACTAATAATTGAGCGGTATATAATCTATTTATAATCATAAATTTAAATTACTATATCACGGTGAATATGCTTTATATTTTTATTGAAAGTTTTAGTCATAAAATAGGATGACGATTCAAGCTCCTATATTTATAGGCTATATTGGAGCTCATAGTAAAGAAATCCATGTGATTGAAAATATAATGGATCATTAAAGATGTTGGTTCAAGTGGTAAGTAGCTTGATATTACTTAAGCAATATCTCGAGTTCGAATCCTTGTGTATGCAGGGTCCGGATTAATCAAGGCAAATCCTTGGAATTGGGAGGGCAACCAAAAATAATACAATGGATCATTCATGCAGCGTTACAAAGAAAATAATACAAGAAAAGATATGGTCATCACTATCCAAGGAATGTGTCTTTAAAGTCGAGCAGGGGACTTATGTTGGAGGCAGTATGTACATGGATTTATGCGTTTGATTTGGAGATGGGTGTATGGGTGGTAGTTGGCGTCGGGTACAAATCTGTTCTTAAATTTTATATTTGGGTAAATGTTGAGGTTGGAAAATATTCATGTGTTTGAAGTTTTAATAACCTTGTTAAAGTTGCTGGAGCGTATAAAGTGGTTGTGCAAAGGTTGGATGGTTAGTGCAGATGTGTTGTTTGCAATATTCGCCAAGGTCTGTTGTTCAATTCAATTTCGTTTTGCACCATTTGCTATGTGGCCAATAAGCTTTGTAATGCTGATGTTAGAGGCTAGTTGGCTGGTATCTTGCTTAAGGCTTAGTTTGCTTTAGGTGGAGAATGGTTATGTGCAAGTAGCATTGGTATTTATGGGATAATTTGTGCTAGAACTTATGCAGGGTATTTTTTTCAATCATATTCATGTGGTACTCTTTTTCTACTATTTGGTTTAGAGAGTTTTTTAACGAGACCCGTCTTTATGAGTTGTTTTGTATGATTTTCATTAATCTATAACATACAAAATGCCCCCTTCAAAAAAAAATAATAGGGCCTTGATGAACCAACAATAACTACAAATGAAACAAAAGGCATCCAATAGGACAAAGAAAAGGAAGCTGCTTAATTTGTTATTATATCCTGCTTATTCAATGATGGGATTGAATGTTATATTTTTTATTTGATAGATTTAATTTACAGAATATATTCAAAGTTTATAATTATTCTCTTAATAATATTGTTTCTGATGAACTTAAATTATTCTCTTAAAAGTATTGTCTTATCATTTATGTTACATATCACATCCTTGTAAATGTCAGTCCTTCAAAGTTAGCTATGTTGTTTTTGAAGGAAAGAATGTAGTTCTAGAAGTATGTTCATTTTGTTTGTCAGTAATATATTCTAAATCGTTAGCCTTTAACTTTCAGAGTATTTCTTTTCTTTTCTTTTTTTTCATCTTTTGTGTATTATAAGCTTAAAACACACAAAACCCAAAATTAATCTAATTGATTACAACTTTTTTTATTTTAAAAAAGTTAAAGATGGCATAGTTGAAAGCAAAATTTACCCTTTTTGTTATTAAATAACAAAAGAGATGAAACCTAAAGAGGTAAAAGAAAAAGACATACAAATCCATCAACTTAGTTAAGCAAAATTGGTTGTACCAAAGGTTTTATTGAATCTATTAACCCTCTGCTTCCAAAATGCATACTTTTGTAATCACTTGATTTCACAATTAGTAAAAAGAGCGATGAGGAAGCAACGCGGAAGCATCGGGCCTTAGCTCTTTGAAGCAGCACAATGATGAAGCCACCCTTATTTTAGAGCAAACCAAGAAGGAAAAAAAGACGGCAGTCTCGACCACTCAACCTCTTTTCCTTCGCTTGCAAACCACACTTCCGAGTCCCATTTTCTTTTTAAAGCCGAAGGAGATAGTTTCTGAATTCTGATCAGATAAACTTACTTCTAGAGTCTTTGGTTTCGGTTTTGGAGATGGCAGTGGTGCTGGCAATGGTGGTTGATGGCTTAGGATTACTGGTGGATGCTCTTTGGGGCATGCAAGAGAGACGGTTCCCTGCAAATTTTAACGTTGTGAGTTCAGCTGCTGTTTCCATTACCATGGCATTTGTTGTCTGCCTTTTGTCCATTCATAGGCATGCAAGACCAGAGATTGGTCTTGCCTTCAATTGATCACTGTTTCCTTCAGTCTCTTTTTTTTTCCTTCCTTCATCGAAATTTTAATAGTGCCCGTGTTGTTTTGTAGTACTGTTCATTGCTGCAGTTCAAGCTTTTCTCTCTGATCAACAAGACTATATGTATTTTATATCAACATTCTGTAATTTTGGGAAATAATTTGGTAGCCATTAGCAGAAGTTGATGGATTCGTGTATTTTTTTCAAATTCAAGTATGGTTGTTAGGATAAAACAGTAGTCTCTGCAGAATTAAGATCAAAAGGGGATAAATTTGCAGAACAATTTATCTGTAGCTGACGCTGTTTTGCATATGGTTAGACTGGTAGTTAGGCAGACAGACATGTTTTTAGTTATTTTATCAGGTTTGAAATCTAGAAACCTGCATGTTTGGATTCAAAGCAACCTGACACTACATGGGGCTAGACTATCGGCTAGATGGTCCGTGCGGCAGCCTAAACTCCTCGGTTAATGTTGTTATAGCAATAAACACAATGGGAAAAACCTAAAAAACGTAATTAAGCTTGTATGGGGAAATTTTTGGCACGAATGCATAAGTTTATTCTCACAAAACTCTTTATATCCAATGGAGGTGGGGAGGCCTCCTTTTATAATGAGGCTTCCTTACATCTCATGACTACTCCTAGTTTAACTACAAGTAAAACTCTTTACTTTAGTTGAAACTCTAATATTTGAGTCCTATTCAAACAAGGACTATGCTACTTGCTTTATTTTTCAGGTAATGGCCGGTTTTGCTAGGTGGACAGGCCCTAAGTCGGTGCTGGCCTCAGCCCTCAGTGCACCCTCAGTATGCATACGCTTTGACCCTGTGTTCTCCCGATGTGTGCTGCCCTCGCCACCAGGTGGCCCCCTTTGTGCACTCATCTCGTTTCTAGGTGCACACCCGGTGTGAGTTGACCCCGACCCCGAGTGCGTCCTGTTGCTTGTTGGCTAGAGCCCTCGGCTCTAGGTGCACCTTGGTGTGCGGTGATCACGATCCTAGGCGACCCTAAGTCGGTGCTGGCCTCGGCCCTCAATGCACCCTCAATGTGCATAGGCTTCCACCCTGTGTGCCCCCGATGTGTGCTGCCCTCACCCCCAAGTGGCCCCCTTTGTGCACTCATCTCGGTTCTAGGTGCACACCCGATGTGAATTGACCCCGACCCCGAGTGCGTCCTGTTGCTTGTTAGCTAGAGCCCTCGGCTGACCTTGCCGTGTATTGGTCTCGGCTCTAGGTGCTCCTTGGTGTGCAGTGATCACAATCCTAGGCGACTCTTGTTGTTTGATGGTCGTGCATGTAGGTAATTTGGGGCGGGCGTGTCTTAACTCTGTTTGGCGTTGTATGTGCCTTGGTCTCGACGTGGCCCTTGTGGGCCGCTTGGGCGACGTCTGTCGCACCTTGGTGGGTGTTGGTCTCGACACCACAGTGGGAGCAGCCTGCTTTTTGCTGGTTGCGACCTCATAAGTAGCCTGTTGTGGACCGACCTCGCCCACAAGTTCGCGACCCGCGACCTATCAAGTCTATTGCTTTGTGTGATAAAAGAATGGTGCCGAATTTAACCAAGTTTTCGTGGGTGGGGACCCATACGCGAGCTTTCATCGGATATTAGAATTTTTATCAAAAGAAGAATATCTTCAGAGCTGAGTTTAAATAGTGAAATCCCTGTGAGGCTTAGAAACTCGTAGGTAAGCCAATCAACGTAACTCAACTCTATCCTAAAATTTAACACAGCTATCTAAATTTTTCTATTCCAATTTTGTCTCTGGGTTAGCAGTTTTGACATATGATGATTAAAATCCTGAATTGTTTTATATATATATATTAATCGGTATCAATCTCATTGACTTATTCGAATCGAGTATTGTAGATACCTATTATTGGGGTGGCATTCTGAATTCAATTTCTTCCATTTATAACGTCAGGATTTGTATCCCTAACCTTACTTAAGGAACTTAATATCTCATCCTGTTAGATTATTAATATAACATTTGCATACTTGAACTAAAGTGCAAGGAAGGAATCAACAGAAGGATAACTATGAGTGGAAACTTGAGTTATCATTTTATTCAAAAGCAATCACTACAAAGCTATAAAATACAAATTCATACACCAATGTAACAACCTTCAGTCAAATCTTCATTTATTGCTCTTAAAACGACTGAAGCCAACTACTCAACGTGGCATATAGAATATAGAAGGCCTGATAAAGTATACAGGATATAAGATACAGGAAAGGAGTTTCCTTGATGCCAGAAACAGGATACATATACGAAACAAGAGGTTTCTCTAATTAAGGAAACGAGAAACTTGTTAATTTAGAAAAAGGATCAGTTTTAATTGATCCAGCATACTAATTCTAAGGTGATTATGGCAACCTGGAATTGCAGGGTTTCTCTCTTGCTAGGCCTGCAGATACCCCTTCTCCTCCAGGTAAGATATCACATTATCAGCCATTTCGCATGGGGAAGCACAGATGTTTCCCTTTTGTGGCAATTCTAACTGCAACATAGGGGGAAAGGGTTTAGCTTCAATTTAAATGTTGGAATATGAGGTTCAAAGAAAACCAAAGTGGAAAGCATCGCCGTTTAGACAACTATTCTCAAGTATGGCCTTGATATCTATCATATTCATATTACCATACGCAACCACAAGAACACACTAACAAGTCAGTCTGAACAGTCTTGAAGCCATTTCAAGATTTTTGTCAGCTGAATTTTTCATGTTTGGAGCATAAAGGATATTTAGGTGTATCTTTGAACAAGTACGAGCCTATTACAAACAAGAAAGGTATTCCAACAATATGCATATACCTCGCAACTCAGGGGTGGTTCGTACGGATCATCTATGCCAGTAAAACCTACAAAGAAAATATTACATAAACTACTATTAAATATAAGCTTCTACTAATCTTCAGATACAAAAACCAATGGGGAAATACACCTTTAATTTTTCCAGCTCTTGCAAGCTTGTATAGGCCTTTTGGGTCCCTTGCCTCGCATATTTGGAGTGGCACATTCATGAACACCTGTTTGAAGCATTGCCCAGTATTTACTCAGAGCAATGTAGAACATTCTGATGCCAAGCGCTCAATATTTCAGGTTTCTTAAAAGAAGCACATACCTCAATGAAATCTCCTTCTGGCAACAGCGCACGACAGGCATCCCTATCTTTTTTGTAGGGAGATATTACACTGGCAATGCAGATGATGCCTGCATCAGCAAAGAGTTTTGCTACCTCTCCTGTAGGTGAATCGAAAACAAGTTGAAACTTGTAACCATCAGAATAAGAGAGCAAATGGATAAAGCAAAACAGAACTATGATGAGGCATCAAACAGCATTTACCAATCCTTCGTATGTTTTCCGCCCGATCCTCTGCTTTAAAGCTAAGGTCACAGTTTAAACCATGCCGAACATTATCCCCATCAAGGATGTAAGCCAACTTCCCCTTAGCATACAAGGCATGGCACAGAGCACAAGCCAGAGTGCTCTTTCCTAAATTCATAGACCGTAGTAAGAGAGAGGAAGCAACACAATGTGATAAAGTAATGATGTTTGAACACGCTCTTTAGTTTAGCACGGAGAAAGTAACAATGAAATCTAAGTTCTTGATTTTGACCATACAGGTTCATCCACGGCTAAAATACCAATCTTTCGGTTTTTTTGGCAACCTTCTTTTTTTGTTGTTTTTAGCATGTAAAAAATACTACTATAGCTAGTATAAGCAAGAAGCCATCTTATATACGCAGGCAAAGAATAAAATAAGGTACAATTTAATGGAAATAAAAAAGGACAGCATGAATTTCACTATTCAAATGTATTGTTTAAACAAACCTGAGCCACTGAGACCCGTAATCCATATGACACAACCCTTTTGCTGAAGTAACTCTTGCCGATTAAGTTTCCCAATAGGACTTTTGTGCCATACAATGTTTGTTGCCTTGCCATTAGTAGCTATCTGGTGGAGATTTTCACCTAGTTACACGTTTGAAACCAGAACCTTAAGAAGATCCAATTGGAAAGAAACCATGTACTAAAGTAATCATGAATTTGCTCTGTCATCATTCCCACTAACTCCGTGAAATGGCCAAAGTGTTCATACGAATATCATAAAACAGTGTTCCCCAAAATGAGGATTTCATTACTAAAACACTATTAATTATCAAAACAGCATATAAAGATACCGTAAAATTATAAAATTTCAAATCTGAACAGCTGAAGCTGCAGGGATTCAGATGTATCCAGTTGATTTATTTGGTACTATGATCAGAAGACAAGAAGCCAAGCTAAGCCGTGTAATAAAAGGGTTTATGTAAACAATGTAACCAATTACTTCCCTTTTTTTTAAAATATTACCATACTTTCAGACGAAGTTTTGTGGTGGTTCTCTAAACCTCCATTTCAACCTGGAATATCTACCGTTTCACAAAATTGCCAATGAATTTCACTTGGCTATGACCAATTTACAGCGGAGTCATAAATGTTAATGCTTGCAAGTCTACAAAACTCAATTGAGCAGAGTCATAAATGTTAATGCCTGCAAATCTACCGATTGTCTTTTAAATATACTCCAAATAGGAATTTTCTTTTATATAGAAGATTTGGCCTTTTATAACTAAATATATATTTTAGTTTTCTTTAAAATGGAATAGATATCGTGAACCAAATTCTTGACAAGAAAAATGAAATTAAACATAAGATCAACTACGAATTTTTTTCGTTTTCTTTATAAAAAAAAGTACCAGAAATAGAAGCAGCGTGATCATTCGTAATCGGCATAGACGATTCCTCCGTTGCCTGAACCAATCTCAACTTGGCATTGTTGCCGCTACTCAACCTCAAAGAAAGCGACAACGCCGGCAATGGAAACTGCACGAATCTAACCTCGTCCGCCGGTACCAAACGGCCACCATCAAAACCGGAGGAGGAACACCAAATCGCCGGCCGTAACGCCTTGATTACAACCATCTTTATTATATATTTTCTACACAATGGTTGTAGGTTGAAACAGACAAACAGGAGGAGTTAACGGCAAAGACGTGATTAAAATTCCAAAATGATTTTGATTTCCTTTTTATAAAATGGAAAACGGACGTGGCAATGGCTGAGTCTGTTTTATTATATTAAATTTTGATTCCACGTGAATTCCCATGTTTTCTTCTGTTCAAGAGAGAGTGATGGACACGTGGACAACGGAGAGTGGAGGAAATCCAAAATTCCAGGTCACGGTCATAATTGTGCAGACTATCCAACGCAAGGATAAATTATTAATATTTATTTATTTACAAAAATATATTTTTCTATCTAATTAAACATTATTGTTTTTATTTTTTGTTTTTATTTTTTATTATTCAACATTTATTATTGATAAGGATATAAAAAATATTTTCAAAAACTCCAATTAACTAATTTTTAAATATATATTTTATAATATTTAATTATTTAAAATTTTTGAGAGAATATAATAACATGCAAAAATAATAATTTTGTATTTTTTATATTTAAGAGTAAATTAAGTCTCATTTTAAAGGCATTTTATCCAAAAATCACCAAAATATTATAATATTACCTATTAGACATCGTTTCCTCAAATTTTATCGATCTAACATACTTTCTGACAGAGTGATAACTTAGGTGGACCAAAGGTTCATCTCTTGGAGTGCGTCTTCCAGGGGAAATGTTGACATGTCACCACAGGAAGACGCGTTTCGAGGGACGCACGTTCTAGATTTTCTTGCCACATCAAATTCCCTAAAATCATTTTAAAAAATATGCTTTTAAAAAATGAAAAATAAAACTATACGGACTAACATCATAATTTAATACATATTAGTTCTATAAGTTGAATATTTTGATGGGGTTCGTTTATATAGACATATTGAAGTGTTTAGGTTATGTTTCTTGACAATGTGCGATAAAAGCTAAAAAATGTATTCCTTTACTTTTTTATCTCTATATCTAATGAATCTATTTATACATTATTGTTAAATTACATTAGGTTAATATTTATTATTAAGATTTATATTAATTAATATTAGATATTTTTTTATAGGTATTAGATACTATTGTCAATTCATCTAATTTAGGAATATCAATTTTGCTTCTAAAATTACATACAAGTTAGATCACACTTACATAATCTCAGCAGAGTTGCATAGTTATGGTAGTCTTGTGTAGGATCAAACCATAAATGAATTTTCATTTCCCTCCCAATTAAATTTCCATGATGTACACATTAGTCTGCAGAGTATATAGCTTATCCGGTGTTGTTCCAAGAAGCTCAATAGCAACTGAAAACTATGATAGAGAAATGTTTGTATATCGGTATGCTATCAACTAAATGTATCAAATGTGGCTAGTAAACTTTGTACATATTAAGCTTTGAGCAACTGGCTTGTTCTATGTTTAATATAGAGGAATAGGATAGACAATACATGTGAGAATATTACGTCATTTTGAAGGTTTATAAGTACATTATTCAACATTTTTAAAGCAATATTTTGAAAGGTTGGCCATGCTTTCATCCAACTCCCTATCTGCGACAGGACAGTCTTTCATATTTTCCCATGATTTGTCTAATTTGTGTGCTAATACTTTAAATTGTCTTGGCTTCAACTTTCAATTGGCAAGACGATTGACTTGCAGCCTCTCAATTTCTATCACACATCGATTGATAAAAAAGTCATTGTATATTTACACTCCGATACCATTATCGACACTAGCTATTATCAATGAGTAAAACGATTTAATATATTGTTAATTACTTGTACATCACTTGTTGTGGGGTAACTGAAGAATAAATCAAGGGGTTGTCATGCAAATGGGGCTTATTTGAAATATGTAAAATAAGTCTTGGGGTAACTTGAGGAAATCAATAATTTGCCACGTCCATTCAAAATCAAAGTGAAAGTTACATACAAACAAAACTTTTAATATAAACATATACTTATTGTGCTGAAAAGATTACGAACTGCTTTCTAATTTATATATATCAGCTTCAAAAGTTAATTTAGTATCTAATACTTTTTTTATTATGTTTCTTGACAATTTTCTATATAAACTCACATCTTACATGTTCATGACACCAAATAATATTTGCTTTTCATATTTTTATATTAGATTCAACTTAAATTATAGATCTAATTAATCATATTCAATAAATAATACATTTATATGTTAATAAAATATTTTAAATGTGTGTTACATAATTTTTTTGAACACATAATTAAAAAATAAGTATTTAAATATATTAACATATAAAAATAAAATCTTAATTAATATAAACCATAATAATAAATATTAACCTAATGTAATTTAACAATAGTGTATAAGTATATTTTTTCTCACATTGTCAAGAAACATAACCTAAACACTCCAATGTACCTATATAAACTAACCCCATTAAGCTCTTAAACTCATGGAACTAATATGTATTAAATTATGATGTTAGTCTATATAGTTTTATTTTTAATTTTTAAGCATATTTTTTAAATGCTTTTAGGGAATCTGATATGGCAAGAAAACACTGGAAGGCACACCCTTTGAAATGTGCCTTCCCACGTGTTCTCATGTCAACATTTCCCCTGGAGCGCACCTTTGATCCACTTAAGCAAATGCGCATTTCAAGTAATGTGCTTTATTATCACTCTATCAGAAAGAGTGCTATATTGGTAAAATGTAGGGAAACAATACCTGACATATAATATTATAATCATTGGGTATTTTTGGGTAAAGTGCCCAATTTAAAATGTTATATATTCAAATATATTAAAACATACTTATTGTTAATTTAGAAAGATATGAGCATGGGTGGCAACGGGACGGGGTGAGGGCGGTTTTACATTACTCATTTTGTCCCCAACACTTATGGGTACAATTTTAGAGAATCCCCATTATATATTTAGGGATTTTTTTATCCACATACCCATCCCTTATGGATCCCTGCGGTTTTCGGTTAATCTTTATCCTAAAAATTAAACAAACATTTTTTAAATAAATGCAACATCTAAAACTTGTAAGATATATCGGATTGTCTTAAATTGGTCTCTATCTATAATATGAAAGTTTCAAATGTCAATATTCGTCTAACACCCAATGTATATGTACAATCTTAATCATTTTCAATCTCAACAAATAAATGTATATCAAATGAGAAAAAATCTAAACTTCAATTTTAGTTCCTTTGAGATGTAACGGTGGCAACACGTAATCTCACAATCTTATCATATATATTTTTTTATTAAAATATATATTAAGGGTATATATGTAAATGATTATAAATATATTTTTAAAATTTTGTAAAATATCAGGGATCCTTATGGATCTTTTTCGGGGATCCCCACGGTTATTTACATGGGTACGTGTTGAGTTAATCGATCGACGAATATGGCCAAGAGGGGGTGAATTGGCAATTAAAATTTTGGTGGAAGCTTTTGCAGAAAATTGAAAGTAATTGCACAACGATTTAAAGTGGTTCGACTTTCTCAACCAAAGTCTACGTCCACTACCTTAGCTATCCACACTAAGGATTTTCCACAAATTCACTAATTTGTCTTTCTTTTGAGGACAAAGAGTAACCTTACAAACCCTCAAGAATTATACCCCAAATTCTTGAGAACACTCTCTCCCAAAGAGAACAATACAAATTTGCAAACTTACAAGAAAATCCTCACAAGGTAGATTGTTTGCACAATTCTAGAATAAAGAAAAGAACACTCGAGAATAATACAATTGAGCACAATAAGTGTTCTTGAAAGCAAAATGAATATTGAATGAAAAATTGGCTTGAAATGCTCAAACTTGAGGTTTGATGTTTTCTCTTTGATTCTCTCTTGATTCTAGTTGCTTGATGTTTCTTGTAGTTGATCAATGGCTTCTAAGCTTGCTTAAATATACCTTGAATTACTTTTAAATGTTGGGGATCATTAATGAAGTTATTGTAGCCGTTTAAGTGTGAAAACAATTAATATTTCTGCTTGGAGCGTGGGGGAATCGGTTCCCTAAGTGTAAAATTCAAATATTTCGACCGTTGAACAGTGGGGGGAATCGGTACCCCTGGGGGGAATCAGTTCCCTCCGAGCATACTGGAATTCTCAGAGCCAAACCATTCAGGGGGGAATCGGCACCCCCTTGGGGGGGAATCGGTTCTCTCTGAGCAATCTGTAATTTTTGGCTTTGAAATGGTTCGAAATATTTTGTAAAATCGTTTTGAAATTATTTTAAGATTAAAACTTAATTTTACACTTGAGTAAGTATTTAAAATGAACTTTGAAATACTTTGAGTAATATTTTGATATTCGATTAATATATCGAATGTGCTTAGAAAAATCTTTTTCAAAATTAAAATTCTTTTAATTTAATTTGTTATATCGAAACATCAAAATGTTTTCAACAAACTCCCCCTTTTTGATATAACAAAACATTTTAAGATTTTCTAATTTCAAAAATGAATTTTGATTTTGAAAAATACTACTCCCCCTTACTTTAACACTACTCTTCTTCAAAAATGCTTTTAACATTTCTCCCCTTTTTTGTTAAATAAAAAAGACTCGTAAAAGATTTTAAACAAGGTTTTAAAATCATTTAGCCAATTGATTATATATATATAGCTTAAACTGCTAAGAACACAATCAAAAGAGAGGTTAGCCATTAGTTTCATAATCAATATTCATAAACATGTAATGGATAATTGGTCATATATGTCTAAAGATGCAAAATAAACACGAAATATAAATCAAATATATTAAACATAAGTTCGAACAACCAAAAATAAACAATCCAAAAGCATTCAAAATGTTTTAACAATAAGTTTAATCCAAACAAGCAAAGCTAAGATCATAGTTCAAGCATCCGTAGAAGGATCGGGAGGTGGGAAATGACCTCGCATAGCTGTCATTTCATGACTGAGTTCATTAATACGAGCGTTGGTTGCTTCATTGTTTGTACGCATCTCCCGGAGAATTTCCAATTATTGAGCTTCCATAGTCGAGAAGTGAGATTCTATGGAAGTGAAGCG